TTTCACAATATTAAAAAAATAATAGAATAAGTAAATAAATATTTTAATATTTTTCAATATTTGAACATTTATTTTTTAGAGAACATTTAAACATTTTGTTACAAAAATTATTCAAAATGGTCTCCTCTAAATCGTCGAGCATTATATTTTTCAACCTTGCACATATATACCAACTATAAAAAAAGATTGGAAAATCTTTAATTCTAAAACTAAAGCGTTCATAGGCCAGTATTCATAGTCAGTTCTTATATTCAAGATCGTCTTAAGTTCAGTCTTAAGGTGTCACGAACCAATTAGAAGGCCGCATTAGCGTCTTAGGACATTACTTAAAATGATCTTGAAATAAGAACCGACTATGAATACCGGCCATAGACCTCTTTATTTATATCCGTATAACAAATCAAACTAACAAAGACTCCTTATAAATCAAAAGAAATTGGAAAGAATAAGGGCAATAGGAGTCAGGCGCAAAGACGACAAATAATACACTTATAAAGCGTAAAAACGTTTAGTAGAATAAAGAAGTTTTACGCTTTATGGGTGTATTTGCGCGACGTCTTCTGCGCCTGACTCTTATTGCCCTTATTCTTTCCAATTTCTTTTTATACATTTATACTTTTTAAATATTTGATAAATGGGAATACGACTCCCTCCCCTAGAATATTTAACGTTTACTCATTTCCATCCTGTATAAGTAAATCAATAATAAAAAGTGAAACAATTAACACATAGAACCGCAAGTCCAAATTAACCCAATTGCAGTTCAAGGTAAATCTGGATTTTTATACGAGAGGGTGTCACCATAAAAATAAAATAATTTGTAATTGCTTGTTTATGAAAAGTCACAAACATGTAAAGGCTCCACGCGCAAAATCCAAATTAATCAGGAAAAGAATTAAGAACCATCAGATGGGTTGGCACAGCCAGGGTTCTAGTGTTAAGGGCAAAGAAAAAAATTCAAAGTATTTAATACAGCTATGTTTCCAGGAATATAAATGCGCATATAGGCATTGTTTGAATTCGAAGAAAAGGAGAAAAGAACCCGGACGTTTTGCGACCGGACTAAAAACTCTCATCCGCGGTTCGTCGCGCACGAGAGACGACTGAAGGGTTTTAGGTGGCTTTATTTCGAGGATCGTTGGAGAGCCGCGGATTGACACGCGGCGACGTCTTGACAGCTTGTTAAGCTAACGGTTCACCCTCGCGTGCGGCCTCTTCGACTCGAGGCCCAATACTCTCGTTCCTCTCTCCGCTTTTTTTTTTCAAGCGGATTAAATTGATCTCGATCGACACACACATGCGCGCGCGCACACGCACATATGTATATACATCGCTGCTTCGATATAGCGAATTCGCTGTCGCCGCGTCGCCGTTGATGGATTCGCATCGACTCGAAGGGCGAAAATCGTAGGTCGCCCACCTTTTGTTGCGTTACATTGCACGCACGGGGCGACCTACGGTTACATTCGGGCATCGATACCCACCGAACCCCGGCGACTGAAAATAATGAAAGTAATGGAACACGCCCACTGCATTTAGCCCGCCGAACTAAAGCGAGCCGCGCTCTGTAACCCCTTGTTGCAACACCCCTTCCACGTACGAGAGAGAGAGAGAGAGAGAGAGAGAGAGAGAGAGAGAGAGAGAGAGAGAGAGAACCTCATCGCGCCCGCTGGCGCCTTGCCCGTCCTCTCGTTCTATGCCCTATTGGCCATTGTACCTGCCACTTCATTGTCCTTTATTTCATTATTTTCGCCGCATTCCGCTTCGTCTCCCTCGACGAGGGGCGCGAATTCTCCCCCTTTTATTTACGTACCGTAATAATAGACGTCTTAACGGAATCTAATAAACGTCATAAATGGCACTGTGATCTCATTTAGCTTACCAGCTTACCTGGCCAGCCCGGGAGTGTTTCTTCCTCTAAACAACGCCAACTTTATCTTCCAGCACATCAAAGGCCAAGTCCCCTTCCATCCCCACTGCCACCCTCAGAATACGCGCGTCGGAGTCATCGAAGACTCCCTCTCCCCCTCCCCAAAGCGCGGCTTTCGGCGATATGTCGTTTGAAAGAAATTGTAAAATTCTGAAAGAGCGTTTTCTTCGAGAATTCAAACGCGCTACGGAGTACGCGACATCGATACAAACTCCATCTCTCCTCTCTTTCTCTTTCTCTCTCCCCCCGATATATATCTCTCGCCGGAAGTAAATCTCCACGCGGATTGGTCTCGCGTACGGTCGCAATGCCGCGTATCCATCTACCCGATGTATATCCGAGAATGTACCTCGTGATTTCGTCCCGATAACACGATTACGATCCTCTCTTCGTCCTCTTTCTCCACCCCCGCGAATCGACGGCGAGAAGGGAAAGTAGGGAAGGAGAGGAGCGGGAAGAGGGAACGGAGAGGGATGGAAACGTGGCGCGGCGCCACCCTCTCTGTCCCCCTCCTACCCCCTCTTTTCCTCTTCCTATACGCATCCCGCTGCCCCCGAGCCCGACAGCCGACAGAGTAGCTTCGCTCGCTCTGATCCCTCGCAATTATTTCCTATTATCTAGGTATTAGGATTCACCCCAACTGGAAGCACGACGTGCTCCGCAGGCGCCTCACCGCCCGCGTGACACGCGCACGCTCGTTGGAAAATCTCTATCGTTCGCTATAATATCGTCTCTTTTCTTAACAGCCATTTGCCGATCTTGCCGATCTAATGTCATCGCAACAGGTAGCAAAAATCCCGCGATTGTTTCGCAACCACGCGAAATCACCAGTTAAGTCGTGCTCGATCGTCGTAATTACGGGTCATATTTAATCCGAGAATAGTTATCTGGGATAATTTATTTTCTTTTGGGATAATTTTTACATCCCAAAAGAAAATAAAGCCCGATCACAGTAGTTTTCTCTACTAATTGAAAATCCATACCTATTTTTTTATATCTTCTTACATTGTTTACAAAATATTAAATAAATTTATATATACACTTCTGGTCAAAAGTTTGGAAATATTTTTTTTAAATTAGCATTTTTGAAATTATTTATTCAAACATTCAAACAATGTACTTTTTAACAATAATTCTTCAAGTAACAGTTATCTAAAAAATTATTATAAAAAAACACATTATATGGATATTCGAATAAATAATCCTAAAAATGTTAATTTTTAAAAAGCGCTTTCACACTTTTAGCCTGGAGTGTACATAATAGTTTCAAATATAATAAATTGTAGAACAATTGATAATATGCAATGTGTAATTAATAATAGTAATTTTTAATTGGAATGTAAAAAAATATCCTAGATGATCGTTTACGCAAAAAAAGCCAGGTTCCCAGATTAACTGGTCCTCTCAACAAATTGGATACGTCTTATCGAATGAGATTGAGATTGAAATTGAATTTTAATCCATAAAGGGGACACCTTCCTTTTGAGCATTTGTAAAAAACACCTGGTGCGAATTCGCACCAGGTGTTTTTAATATTTTATATCTTCTGAAAGTTAAAAACTAAATTAAAATAGAACCTATGTTTTTCAATGTAAAATTTTCTAACCAATCGAGAGATTGGTAATATTGAATTTTCAAAAAACAAAATGTTATTCATTCAAAAAGCAAAATCAATTTTCTCAAATGCACAAGTTAAAAATTTTCGTGGTGTCATTTATGGGTTAATCAATCTGCAGAAAAGAAAATCATTATCATGTTTAGTGAACTTTGCTTTAATTAATCAAATTCAATCCCAATCTCAATTCTAATTTCTAGTCTAATATGGACAGTAGATACTTATAGTAATGGTAGTCAACGCGTTAACGAAGCGGATCTCGCGATTGTTCCATCCCTCCCATTGTTGGCTCGATGCCTCATTAACTTTTGCGAAAATGTCTCTGAGTTATAGGCACCGAAATGTCGCGCCGATCATTAACGAAACGATAGCGTAAAGAGACTCAATCGTCCGCCGCGACCCACGACGCAATTAAATGTCAATGTCGACGCGCGCCACGCGGCTCGTAAAACGTCGTTATCGAGAGGCAACATTCTAATGTTTATTTCTACTAATTAATTTTAATCTCGGTTTAACTCACTCTTTATCTTTTTCCAATCCCCGTTCTTACCAATAGATTAACTTTAATTTTGGATTCGATTTGCTTAATTTTGGATTCTCATCTTTTTCTAATTCTATATGAATATAAAAAAAGATGAAGAATAAATTAAACTGAGATTAAAGTTTATCTATATTAGTTCATAAACGGGCATAATATATTTTAAATAGAATTAGAAAAAGGTAAAAAATAAGTTAAATCGAGATTAAGATTAATTTACACTGATAGAAATGTCCATTTCTGCTAATGTAGTCTAGCTTTAACTTAAGCTAAAACTCGCTTTAATTTACTCTTCATTTTTCTAGTTCTAAGAAAAAGGTAAAGAGTAAGTTGGAAGAGATTAAAGTTAATCTACATTGCTGGAAACGGGTACAATTCCAAATGAAATCGATAGATTAACTTGTAGATTAACTTTAATTTCGGTTCAATTTATTCTTTATCTATTTTTTAATTCTTAGAGCTAGAAAAAAGATGAAAAGTTAGTTAACTCAATATTAAAATTAAACTACATTGGTAGAAACGGGCATTAGAAAAAAATGAAGAGTAAGTTAGACCGAGATTAAAGTTAATCTACATTGATAGAAATGGTCATAACTCGCGCGTCCTTCCGGTAGAAAATATTTTATTTTCTCTCTCTTTCTCTCTCGTCCTCGCCTCCAAAAAGTATGTTACGCACTCAAAGTTTCAGAATACTGAGCCTGGGAAAAGATAAATCGAGGAGAAACAGAAGCATACACATCATCGCGTCAGAGCATGACAGTTTAATTCTCAACGAAAACCACGGCCTATTTTTACACAGTTGACTATAAAAAGTAACAACAGACCAAATACCGTATTTATTTACCATATTTCACTATAAAAAGTAGAGATTTCGGAACCGGCAAAAACTCCATTCCTTTCGCTTTCTTTTTTTTCTTCCTCTTTTTATTACGTTATACGCAAGCGGGAAAATCCAGCGACGCTCCAGCAACGATATCGTTCTGCGTTGAATAGCGCGAATTATTTCAGTGACAGGTAAATACCGCTTAAAAACGTTCCACGAAGATCATTGGTTTCTCTCCTCTCTCGGTCCTTCGAGCGGAGACGATCTCTGCCGAATTCCGTGTTCTCCGTTATGCGGCGAGCTTTAGCCTAAGGTAAATTCTCGGTAGATCCGGTCGTCGCGGGGATACCGGGGATGGCCAGTAACCACGGACAAAGATCATCCATTCTTTTCTACGCGTGGCTGCCGTGATTCTGATAAAAGTCAAGCGGTGACGTCGTAACGCGTCTCAGCGATGCTGACGTTGGGCGGAATGTTGGCCGTGCTGATGGTGAAGGCTGACCGTATGCGGATGCGGATGAGAATGCGAATGCGAGTGCGGATGAATCGCCGTGTGGAGGATCCTTGGTGGCGTGCCGCGTCTGGACAGAGATGGCAGAGTACCGGTACGCGTCGACGTCGGGGTCGAAACCGTCGACGTCGACGTCAAGGTCGGCGTCGGAGCCGGAGTAGGTATAGGAGTAGGCGTCGGCGCCGGCGCCGGCATCGGAGTCGGCGTCACCGTTGGCGTTGGCGTCGGTGACGGTGTTTCATCACCCAGCACGTCGATCTCGTCATCGTCCTCGTCCTCGGAGTCCGCGGGCGCGTCGCTGCTCGCGCGCGACTCGCGGCCACCACTCAGCGAAAAGTCTACGGGACGTTCTGTCAACATCAGCAAACAATCGTCGATTAGTCCTCCGGACAAGACGTAAGTACGTGGGTCTATTGGACCCACTCAATTGTATCCTTCCGGAGCTGACGGTAGGTCTATTTCATCCATTCTTTGTGTCAACAATATCAAATAATTCTCATATATATTTTTTACAGTATTTTTTCTCTTATTATAGTTTTCTTATGTCACATCTGCAAATTTGAATTGTATTCTTATTTAACATTAGAACCGCCGATGGTATACTCCGCTAGAATTGCCGAAGATATCAGTTTGATAATTTCCAGGGTTGGCAAGTAACGCGTTATATATATGTACTTATAACGCCGTTACTTGTTGATCGTTACCTTGTTATAATAACAATTTGGTAATGACATTGTGAATTTTTTATGATGGTAATGCTAACATCAGAATTAGAAAAGTCAATCGTTACTTGTAATGGATTAAAAAAGTCATTCGTTACTGAAAAAAATAACTTCTAATTTGTAACGCGTTATTTATAACTTTTTCAGTGTAACGCATAATAGTAACAAGTTACTTTTCAAAGTGACTTTTCTAACCTTAGTACAACCTTAGCGTTTAGTTAGTTAGCGTTACCGTCATAAAAAATTGCAACATCGTCATCGAATTGTTCACTATAAAAAGTAACGACAAAGTATCTGAAAACTAATATTTGCCAATCCTGATTAATTTTCTTGTTTTTGATTAATGAAGAACTTTTTTCTATTATTTAGAATTATTTATATTATATTTTCTATATTCTGTATATCTAATACAAAAAAGAAAAAAAGAAAATGATTAATGGAATCAAAATGGCGGAACCACCATCAGCAGTTCTGATGTTAAATATACTTAGTAAATATACTCAGATTTTTCCTCATTTTCTTGCAATTAATTAATGCTTTTTAATTAGTATAAATTAAATGTGTCTTACAGATCCAGAGTCAGTAACTGTATTACAGATATTGGAGTCAGCTCCGGAGGTTTAATACTTCCGTTGGATCTCGATGAGATTGTCGGAACAACACTATTACACAGGTCGTGTCTAACGTTTGCAAGCGGAACATAATTGTTGTAACGAATTTTCTTGGTCGCTTCCATTGTCAGTCTGTACTATCGTGCCGCAAATATTTTCGCGATAATACAGACGAATTTCGTTTTTGTGTTTCCCTATATTTGAATAAAAGTCGGAATCATGGCACGTGCCGCCACGGCCTATGGTAGCCCTTAGCGGCGAACACAATCGAGAATATAGGTCTGACCGAGCACTTAGCGGGTAATTGAGCAATTCTCTCGCCGAGAGACGGGCGTAAGCGAGAGTCGAAACGAGACGGCGAAAGAGAGGCATCGAAGGAGGGAACGAATCTCCCCGTCGGGGGTTCCTTACGTAGCTCGCTCGAGTCTAAAGACGTTGAGGCGGTCTCCGTCTTCTGTGTGCCCTCCACCCTACTCACCCTCCTCTCGATACCTCCTTCTTGGTTGCTGCCAAGGAGACGTCTATGTAACTCGGTTAGCCCTTCCTACCGAACGAAGCCATCTTGTCTACCGAAGACGAACAACTTGGCATATAGGATGCGAACGCTATGGACCAAACTATTTAAATCGCTCGAAATGTCTCCCGCCGTCTCGTTAAATAATCGCTTTTATATTCGTACGCCATGAATACCAGGGTGGTCCGATCGTATCCGCGAAAAAAATTTGTTTTATATGTTATTGAAAACGGAAAAATAACACGCTTAAGATAACGACACTATCACGATAAATTGCTTAAGATAACGACACCACTACCGCGATAAATTTTCTTCTAAGATATTAATATAGTACGCAACATGTTATCGAAAATGGAAAATAATATGTAAATCGCTCGAGGCGATGACATCACGGCGAATTTTCTTCTAGGAAATTAATATAATACGCGTTTTATTTTATCGAAGGAAATTGGTTGAAGCAACGACGCCACCGCGATGAATTTTCCACTAGAAAATTAATGTAACACACGCTATGTTATCGAAAACAGAGAATAACATGTAAATTATTCGAAACAACGACACTACCAAATTTTCATGTAAGAAATTAATATATTATAATATTACACTCTTTTTATTAAAAATTAAAGAAAAATAATACATAAATCGCTTGTGACAACGAGATATCATTAGGACAAAAAAAATTTTTTTTAGGAAATTAACGTAACGTCCAAGCACATTATCGAAAATGAAAAATAACATGTAAGTCATTAGAAGTAACCGTTACAATGCGGTAAATTTTCTTTTTGGGAAATTAATATAATGTGCACCCTGTTATATAAAAAACGAAAAATAATATGTAAATTGTTCGAGACGATGATACACCGGCACCATCGGTGAAATTTCTTCAAGGAAATTAACGTGACATCCAGCACGTTATCGAAAAACAGAAAATAACAAATAAATCGAGGCAACGACATCATGTTGGCGAGTTTTCCTATTAGAAAATTAATGTAATGAGCATCTGTAAATGCGACGTCACCGGCGAACGATATTATGGTAATATATCTACGACGGAATGCAAACCATTATGCAGATACCGTTATAATGATTATAGTTCCTCGCAACGTAATCACGGTTACGGTCTGGCTAGTTACGCCGAACTTGCGTAATTTATTGTCAGCGGTATTTTGGTTGCATTATACAGATATCGCCCATTAGCGTGACAACAGGGAAGTATTTAACGACAACCGACGTTATAACGCGTCGTCCCGCGCCTCCTCGCTCTCCGCTTCGGCCAGATAACCGATAACTATGCCCGATTAATCTCGGTTCGCGTCGTGCCGGTGTATCGACTTGCGATTGCGAAAACAGTTTGTCTAACTTTATGAAAATACGGACACGCATGCTGTCTATTACTAATTAAGCCAAATGCACGCGCCATTATGGTGTCACACAGTGCTCCAAAGAGATTGTACGTCTGACCAGAATCTACTTGCGAATTCGCCACATAGAGTAAAATTGGATAAAATGGCCATTTTAAAATGCAAAGAACATCCTTTAATTTTTTGTCATTTTTAACAGTGTTATATTACGAAGATGGCCGTCTTATCCAAGTTTAGCCTAGATTCAGGTACGTGCATAATGTTTTTCTATCGTAACGGCACGGCGCGTAGCCATTCATGAGTTTCCCCGCTTATCTAGGACACGGCGTCATTAATCCGAGTTAATTAGCTCGCGGTGCGGGAATACTGCTCGCAGCTGTTTATCGAAAAGTCGATACGCGCATTTAATTTGTCGGTAATTAAGTTACGCGTTGCGGAAGCTACTCGATGCGAAATTCCGTAGATGCCGTAGATTGCGATGTCCTTTAAGCATTATCGTTCAATAGCGCGCCGTAAACGCCTCGTTACAGCTCCCCGTTCCGGATCCGTTCTCTCTCCCTCGAAAATCACGCTCGTGACGCTCGCACCAATATAATGCAACGAAACCGATTTATATTTTCCTCATCCATCGAAGCAAAAGCGGCGAACGTGGAGAACGAAATGGATCTCACTCACCAGCGGGCGACGTTATGGATATCGATTGCTGGCCTGAACTGGAATTGTTGCTGCCGCTTGTGTTCAGCTTCCTCAGCTGCTTCTTGTGCTTCATCCGTCGATTTTGGAACCATGTTTTCACTTGGGTCTCCGACAAGTTCAACGCCGCCGCCAGCTCTACTCTCTCGGGCGTGCTCAGATATCTCTGCATCTCGAACCTCGCTTCTAGACCTGCCAGCTGCTGATCGCTGAATACCTGAAGTCGTAAGGAACCAAACTCTTATCTACAATCGTGAGAGATAAGTGGAGGGGAAAGAAAAAAATATATGTATAAATAAAAAAGTAAATACGTAACTAGAATGACAAGAAGCGAGAGAAGTGAACAAACTAAGAATCGTTTATCCAGTAACGTCAGATACGCCTCATGTTGTAAATAGTTGCACGCAGGATTTACACGAGCTTGATGTACGTTTCGTTTTTGATCGATTTTAAAATCAACGATTTGATTCGTAAAGAAGAGTTTTGTTAAACTATCTAATTTAGCTAGATACAGATCTAAAAATAATTTTATTGGAGTCATCAAAATAATTATGCTAGCAAAATAATTATTCAAGCTGATTATTACTACAATATTAAAACATTTTGCAGCATTATTGGCTCATTATGCTTGAATTACATAAAATTATGATGGACCGATAAAATTATCTTCAAATCTATATTTAGGTGCCTAAATTTTTAGATAATTTGGCAAAAATACGTTTTTTTCGTGTAGAAAATTTATATAACGTCAAAATGTTATTCGCACATGGAAAGAACGATTTTACTAAAGTATTTAAAAATTTAACTAGATACAGGTTTGGAAATAATTTTGTTAGACTATCAAAATAATTATGCAGGATGTTCAAATATAATGAGCAATACTGAAAAAAGTTTTAATATTTTAGCTACCAACTGGAGCATTTAACATAGTTATTTTAATAGTCCAACAAAATAATTTTCAAATCTGTGTTGTGTATCTAGCTTATAAATTTTTAGATATTTGAGCAAAACCGTTCTTTTAGGCGCAACGTCTCGATTTCCACTCCAGACGCGTCGGCTCAAAAAAGTGATCTTGCAGTTATAGCGAAAATTATCTAAGTACAAAAAATAGATAAATTTCTAGCAGGTACTATGATATTGTATATGTATTGCATCTAATCATATAGATGACAGAGATAGAATTTAGATTTGTGCTATAAATTCTATGCGTATGATACATAATTATCTATCAGATACAAAAAACAGCTATAATTCTAACTGGAGTAGCAAAATACTTTTTTGCATCAACGGGATGAAGGAAGGAATATCAAGGATGTACTCACGGTTCGAGCCTTCCGTCGTCGGCAATGCTTAAGAGCTGCTAGTTCCCCGACCCCTGGCACGACACCGACCCCCATGCCAGCGCTACCGAAGAGAGGACCCAAGAAGAAAGCCGCCGCGGCGGGTGGTGCCGCGGGATAACCGGGGAGCAAACTGGCGAACTGCTGGTACTGATGGTGTTGCCCGTGGCCGGAGGTCGACGTCAAGTGTTGATGGTGCAGCTGATGATGATGGGTGTGCGGAGTGACGGTACCGCGGCTAAGGATATCCTCGATGAGGAACGATGTCCTGCTGGCGGAAGTTCCGTTTTGGCCTGGCTGAGCTCGTTGCTGACAGGTCGACTGCATCTTTTCTCGTTCGACACAACGTTGCGGCTACGACGACGCGTACATGCCTCGATCGTTGCGGTTACATTCTCGCCCGGATGTCTTGGCGCGACGCCAAGGTCGCGAAATCGGAGGGAGATCCTTGCCAACCGCGACGGTCCGAGACACGAACCCAGTTTCTCGTGCCAAAAAAGACGGCCAGGGAGAGATCCAATGAACTGCGTTTGGATGTTTAAATACCGATGCCGGTCCTTCTTTTTCTTGAACTCCCTCAATAGGGGTTGCAAATCAAACTAACCGGAAACTTATTCGGTAGACGACATCGGTCTTCTTAACTTGAACTCCCTGAATAGAGGGAGAGAACTGGCTCCAAACTTTCTAGTAATTGAACGTTTGTTCGACTACCGATACCGCGAATAGGGAATCTCGCGGTTTGGCACTCTCGAAACTGATCACTTTTCTCCCGAAGTGCATATCGCGATCAGCGACGTCCTCGTCCTCGATGACCACTTTAGCCCGACCTGGTTTCAACTAATCGGACGTTGTACGTCCCGCGAGTTTATTTTCCGGCGGAATCGTGATTGATGGTGCGCGAATCGTGCCATGGATCAGGTATGAATCGCGCGAGACGCCGTCTGTCGCTCACTGTCTTTCACCGTCGTTCATCGAGACATCGTGCGAGGCGCGTATCGGTGAGCGCGACACGATCAGGGTGATTCAACCCCCCGCAACGGCGATCATCGGCGCGGCGGCCCCTCCTGCCAGTTGGCGTACCGCGGCAGCTCGTAACACCGTGGAAGGGTGACGCTTGGATCCGAGTGTATCCGAGTTTCGAGGCCGGCCTGACGTCCCGCATTGGCCGGCGTCGCGACGCTCACCGTCGCCGGGGTTGGTTCGGCGACGATCCCGGGGGCGGGTCTCGGCCACTCGTTTCCATGGACACGCGCTCGGGTATTCGTGAATCCAACGGCGTACGTCCCGCGCCGAGGAGGCGGCGGCGACGACCGGAGGACGCGGAAGGGCAGGAGGAACTACGATCCTTCTGTATTCGCGATTTCTCCCCATTCTCTCGCACTCTCGCACGTAGATATAATAATACAAAGTGCAAGCATGTATATGTAAGAGTACGTTACGAAAATCCCCTCGCGCTTGCCTGCTCGGCGTGGCCATCCGTTATACGTGCGCGACGCGCGACGATTCCACGATGGTAAGAGTATTTCAAAACCATTTCTCTCCGTCTCTTTATCTCATAGATAAGGCTCTACGATATCGAAAGTGTCGATATACTCATGGGGACGACCGAAACCAATCGCTTTCTCGCGTACCATCGTTACGTTCGCAACGTTTCGGTTTAACTCGATCTCTACAATCCGTCGTGCGATTCCGCATCCCTCATCGAAATATAATCGGGTTCCTCGTACGATGCGCGATACTCCACTCAACGCCAGGCTGTATCGGTATTGAATCTTGGACGAGAGGACGAACGATGAGAGCTGAAACGTGGGATTAAATTACTTAGCGGTTCGTGTATATGGGGCGCTTTTCAAATGGCGGTACAAGCGCGTGGCGTTTGACGAGATGACTATGTCATATCTCCGTACCTGAACGATAAACACGTAGTACAAGGTCCGAAAATGTGTAATGAATTGGAAGGAGCTAGAGATTAGAGGTGGACGTTGACTCAAGCTAGAAAATTGTTTGGTGAAATAAGCGTAATACTTTTCCCATATTGAAGATAGCATAAACATCTTAAGAAAAGAAAGAAGAGAGAGAGAGAGAGAGAGAGGAAAAGAAAGAGAAAAAGGAAGGAGATTAGAGAAATCTTATACTTTAACGGTTTTAATTATCGTTAATCTCTCGAATCTCGGCTTTTCGCATATCTCGACGATGTCTCCTCTTTCCGCAGGCGTGACGATGGCCGGCTATGATTAGGGTCGAGGGACGCGTGCCGACATTTAGACGGGGTTGCTTCTGCGATTATTGAGTAAATTAACGTCACGGTAATTGCGTTACCGGCGCGTGTCCATCCGTCCGTGTGCGTCCGCCCGCTGCACATCGCTCGGCGTCGCCCGGCGTCGCTCGGCGTCGCGCAACCCTCACCCTCCATCCCTCGCACCCCCTCCGCGCATTTGCGCCGAGAGAGAGAGAGAGAGAGAGAATGAGAGCCGCCCTCCGGCAGCTCTGCTCGTAAAGCCGAAAATCCATCGTCCGGGGTTTCGGCGCGGCTCGACAACATCCTCCGCCGAGACTCACGGATCCTCTTGGGACTCGTTAGGCGTGAGAGCAAAACGGGTAGCATGTATTAATTTTCAAGTTTGTTTATTGCGGAGCGTCATGCAATACACATCATGCAGCAGCGGGCTGCGTTTCATAATGAAGTGCTTATTCCAACAAAGAAATGTACATACACCTAGCTCGCTCCGCGTGACTCCGATACAGTGCTTTATGATATATATTTTAACAAAACATACGTATAAAAGGTACTTTACGCGTATTCGTGAAAGCTTAGACTAGATACCTACATTCGATGCCATCTGGCAGTGCGGATCTACACATTATATTCTTTTGTGTATCTCATTATTTCTCGGCGTTTGCTTATAATATGAACAAAGTCTTACCAAAGAAGAGCGACTGCGCGAAAGTTTTGCTGAAGTATCAAAAAAATAGCTAGATACAGATCTGAAAATAATTTTGTTGAACTATCAAAATTATGTAGGACGCTTAATTTGATTGCTAAAATTTTTGTTAAAATTTTTTGCAGCACTGTCATCAACGTTTAAGCATTCTACATTATTTTAATGGTCAATACAAATTTATTTTCAGATTTGTATCTAACTGGATTTTTAAATACTTCAGCAAAACTGCTCTTCCCTGGTGCGGTAAAAAAAGTATATATATATATATATAAAATATACATATATGTGTGTATGTATGTGTAGTTTAAATGTCATCGTCATTGGACGTGCGTTTATAGAAGGCACGGGAGAAGCTGCCAGGACCTTGCGATCCACAGAAAAAGAAGCCGCGTCGCCAAAGGACGAAGAAGGCCATGCCGATTGGGATCGCGATAAGTAGGCCGATCAGCATTCCTACGAGTATCGCGGCATCCTTTTCCGGTCTCGCATTGTACAGATCTAAGCAGCGTAGCTGTCGATCAGCCAGGGACGCGAGCTTCTTCCCTGCGTGTTCCGGCGGCGAGGAACAGGTGAGCTCGTCGACCTCGTTGTCTCCTATTAGCGCCTTGCCATATTCCGGCAATATGTTTCCGATCTGCGAGAAATAAGCCGTTGATCACTGTACGCAATCCAATCGAGACAAAAAAGCGACACGAGCGAAGGGGTTTTCTACAGAAAAGCGTTTAGTATTTATGACTATAATTGCATAGTAGAATAATTATAATTAAAAGCTCCATTTTTATAGTTATTACTGCTATAATGTTAATAATTACATTTATAGTTTTATAAACAAAATATAGATAGCTCGAAAAACAACTATAATATTATAGTCGCGTTTTTGGGACAATTATAATTTTTTTTAAAGAACTATAAATATAATTATTATTACTAACATTATAAAATAATAACTATAGAAATAGTTCAAGCAGAATAACAAGTCATTATAATATCAAAATAATATTAAAATGATTTCAAAATTTACGATTCATTTTAACGTCATTTTGACGTTATCGTGACTTGTTGTTCTGATTGAGAGAGTCCATAATTATGATTACTTTATCATATATATAATTATCATATAATCATAAATAGCAAAAACATTTCTCTCAGTATACTCATTTGTTCTCTCCCTTGACGAATCGCACATTCCTCGATTGTCGGAACTTACCAGATATTGATTATCACAATCGCAGCTCCACTGGTTGCCCGTCAGACACAATTCCTCGAGATTGTCCCATCTCCCAACGAGTAGCATCGGTAGATACCGGAGGGCATTGGACGCCATGTTCAGCTTTTTTAGCGGCGGCCACATCGTGCCCTCGGTGGTCTGCGGACAACGCGCGACAAATTACATCGTTATCATTGACGGCATCGGCATGTACTTACCGTCGACTATCAACGTACCATGAACGCCATCGCGTATTCCTCGATCCTCTCTAATTTCCTGCAATTCTGTATGTAAAGGATCTCCAGGCCGGTCAACGCCGATAACCCGCCGTTCCCGATCACCGTCAGATTCAGCATGCCGCGTAGACTGAGCTCTCGCAGCATCTTCAGGTTGGGGAAAGCATTCGTGCGATCGATAGCGCGTATCGGATTGCCATCTAAGCTAAGATATTCCAAGGTTCCGGTCTCTTCCAATGATTTGGGTAGAACTGTGAGCTGGTTGTTGTTCAGATTCAGTTTCTTCAGATGTCTAAGAGTAGCGAAAGGTTTTAGGAAACGCCGTTCTTGAGTGATGCATGAACGTAATTACGACAAAACTATATATAATCGTTGTATACTTTTCGGTTTCTTACTTGGCATTGTGGAACTGAAGATTCGGTAATTCTCGTAATTCGCAATAACTGATGTCCAACTCCTCCAAATACGATAAGCTACTGATCGCTATGGACGTACGATAATCGAACACGCCGAAAGGATTTCCGGACAGATTCAGCACCTTGAGGTCGGCAATGTGCTCGAATATACTCTGATGTAACCAATGGAGTACATTGTTACCCAGGTTTAAAATTTGCAAGTTCGACAGAGGCTCGTACGCTTCTGGCGAAAATCTCCCCTGAAACAATCGGAAATAAACCCAAGTAGCACAGCAGCGCTTTCAAAGCGCTAAAAAGCAATTATATACGCTTTTTTAGCGCTTTGTTAACGTTTTGTAAGCGCTGTATGCTACTCGGGAAGTTGATAATAATAGATCGCAGACACAGAAGGAATAATTATGCTGAAGTATCTAAAAATTTAGCTAGATACAGATCTAAAAATAATTTTGTTGGATCATCAAAATAATTATGTAGGACGCTCAAGCGTGATGAATATTGTAAGAAGTTTTGATATTTTAGCAGCTTGAACGTTCGATACAATTAATTTTTTGAATGATACTTTCTCGCATTAAATGCGCATTTAACAGGCGCGGAGCT